CTTTATAGCCTCCCTGCAAAAGTGATGCCTGGGATCCCCTGACCACAGACCTTGCAGGTGCCCCTGGGTCCCCCGCCCCGGCCTCCCTTCCCGCTCACCTAGCAGCCCCCCGAAGGTGATGGCAGGGCTGAGGGCGGCGAAGTAGATGAAGAGCACGGCTGCCACGCACTGGGAGTGCAGGGCGTCTCGCAGGTCACTGGGGTAGTGTGGGTACCGACGCTTCACATCTCGCACCAGCCCCCCAAACACTGAGCCAGTCCGCAGCAAGGGGTCATCTTCGGGGGTTGCCTCGGAGCCCCCCAGCTCCACCGACAGCTCTGGGGGAACAAGGAGCTGCTGGAGCACAGACCACCCCCTCCTGCTGGGGGCCCTGGGCTCAATCCTTCCCATCAGGGACTGGAAGCTGGCATCCAGGAGTCAGGGAGTCAGGACAGGCTGGCCTCACAACCTTAGGAGCTGCAGGGGGGGAAGGGGGGGTACGGGCCCCAAAGGGTCTGACCTTTCCCGGGGGCCACATAGCTTCCCTGGGTGGTCATCTCCACTTTAGTCTGTTCACGCTCCCGCCGCTTCCTCAGCAGCTCCCTCTGGAAGGTGGCCACGGAGCGCAGCAGGTCACGGCCCTCCACCTCAGATGGAGGGATCACGATGCTGCCATCCAAGAACTCACTGATGGCGCTCAGGAGGTCCTGCCGGTCGTCCGCCTGGTAGGCAGCCTCATGAAACAGCTATGGGCAGGAGAGGCAAGGGCTGAGCCATGCTGAGAGCCCCTGGAAGGGCTTCAGGGAGGAGGTGTTGGGACTTCACCAAGCCGGAGGCAGGATGGGTGTTTGGCCACATATACAGGTCCGGTCCAATCGTCAAAATATTCACTTATGTCCTTGCTGGCCAGCAATCGGCCACAGCCCTGAACCTCCGAGTGCCTTCTATTCCCCTAGGAGCTTCCAGACTTTTCCACGATGCAACAACTAAAGGGGCAACGCCGGGCATAGCAGGGGGCCCTAGAACCATCCTGACCAGAGAGTTCTCACCTGCTACAGTTCGGTCAATTAGCATTTCCAACATCACCCCTGGCTAGAGGACCTTCCTGTCCCAGCCAAGGAGAGGCCACAGCAAAGACCAACATATCCAGGCCTCCCTTTCCAGTCTCATGCCACATCCAAGACTTGGGGGTCTGGGCTTTTACTCCCCCTTCAACCACCTCCCCTTCCCACAGCTCCAGCCCAGGGCTCCCTTTTCTCCCTCTACCATCGCTCCAGAGCACTGCCTCCACCCAGAAGGGCCTCTTGCGCCCCTGCATCCAGGGCCACCAATGTAGGCAGTGAGCAACAGGGAAAAAGGAGGGCCCTGGTGGCGGGGGGGGGGGGACAGGCCTAGAGCATCCAGCCCAGGACCCACCTTGTCAGACATGAGGGTGGCAATGGAGCGCCCAAGCTCATGATAGTCAGTGCTGGTGTGGCTGGGACCCAGCATCACAAAGAGGAAGCGAACGGGCACAGGGACCTCGAGCACAGACTCCAAGAGCACAGCGTCGTTCAGGCGCACAAAAGCTGCTGCAGGCTGCTCCAGGAAAGGCACACAGCCTGGGGGAAGAGCAAGGCACAGGGCACTGGGCAAAGAGGAGCCGTCCAGGCTGGCCCTGGAGAAAACACCTGGGGCCATCATGTACAGTTGAGCAGGTTGCGTGCTGCACAAAGAAACCCCCGATCTAAAGAAACCCTATTCGTTTATATATTTGTATATTTATTATAATTCACCAATAGATGAAAAGTTAACAGTCTCCGAGAAGGAGTGCTTCTCTTTAATTCTCACAAAAGTGCTCTATGGACTAGCGGCAGTCCAAGACAGCGGAAAACTGGACGGGAAGCAGTAAGAGGGCTGAGAAAGAGCGAGCTGGGGGCAAGACAGGCTGTCAGGCAAGGCAGGGACGCGTTGGGGACCTGGTCTGGCCGGGGTTGGAAGAAGGAGCCTGCGGGCCGGAGCTCAGGACAAGCAGAGCACAGAGGAAGCACACACACCCAGGACCCCCTGCCTCCTCACCCACGAGCACAACAGTAGCCTCAGCATCTTCGGGGATCTTCTCCAGCAGCTTCAGACTCTTTCCCCGGTGACTGTCTCCCCCAGGCATGTGGAGAGGCTTCTGAGGACGCAGAACTGGAATAGGGCTGGGACCCTGACCGGAGGCCGTGGCAGGCCCTCCCCTCCCTTGTTCCAGGCCTGGACTCTGCCCTCCAACCCCTGGACCTGGGCCCTGTTTTCTCCCTCCCCAGCCAGGAAAGGGACTGTCAGTGATGCGCCCCACATCGGGAGGAGACCGCTCCAGTTGTGGACCCCTCCTCCCAGCTGCCCGCTACCACCTCTGCCTTATCTGGTTGAAATGGGTCCCCTGGGTCTGCCACGTCAGCCCATTTAAACCTCCTGTTTCTTTAGGGCAGGGGCCCTCATGCGTATCTCTTACAGATCCCCCCCATGCCTCGTATAATGTCAGGCATCCAAACTTCCCGACCCGCTCAGGGAAGCCAGCGGTGGCCTCCAGCGAAACCAGAAGGCCCCTCAGTCCCCCAGCCCAGGTCCGAGCAAGGCGACTGACCTCCTTGGCATCAGGGTCATGAGGCCAGAGTGGGGCTGGCTCCCCCACGTCATCAGCCACAGTGGGCACTGCGCCGTCAGGACCGTGGCTGGGGGTGGGGTGATGATTCCCCAGGACCGAGTTCACACTGGAGCTGGATGGGTTTCGGGGAAAGAAGCCACTGTCCTTGTCATCATTGGGATGGCTATGAAACGGGCAGAGGGGACAAGGCAGGTTAGGAAAAGAGACCTTTCGTGAGCTGAAAAACAGAGAGTAAGGAAGAACTTTCTAATGACTGCTGCTGTCTGAGCATGAATGAATAATGAGTTCCCCGTCACTGGGGTTATTCAAGCAGAGGCTAGAAAGCCGCACAGAAGAGTCTGTGCTCCTGGAAGGGCACGGGCACTAGAAGGCCCCCCTCCCAGGCCCCCCACCCTGGCACCTGTGTTTCAGCAGGAGGGTGCGCAGGACGCTGGCCCTGTCCTCCGGACGGATCTGGTCAGACACGATCATGGTCTCCACCACGAGATGGGCGATCCCCGGCAGAGTGGTCTGCTCCAGGTCCAGGAGGGCAGCTCCTGGGGGGTACAGTCAGGGGTAGGGTCCCATCAGATAGGAAAAGCCACCCTAGCCGCCTTGCTCCCCAAGGGCAGGCGGACGCGCCAGGTGAGTCCAGCACCTGATGCACACGGGCAGATAGTCAGTGCCACTTGGCACAGATGAGCCAGACACAGGGATGTGCCGAGGGAACACGGAGCAAGGGCACGGCCCCTCCAAACCCAGGGAGGAGAGTCACTGGTTAGTGTACTGCATGGGGACAGGGGCCTACAGGGGCACAGCCCGGCCCCTCCGAGCTTACGGCTACGCAGGCGGTCAGACTCTACCTCTCCCAAGTGGCAGCCAGACCTCGCCTGGGCGCAGGCCCCCAGGGAGTAGTTCCCCAGGGCTGGACAGCTCCTGCCGGCCGAGCTCCCTGGTCAGTGAAGAGGGCCCGCACCCCAGGGCCAGGCCTGCAGGGCCCCTACCATGGGCGATGGTCCTCCTGAGCTCCAGAAGGCTGCGGAAGGAGAGCGAGGCCACATGGGGCTTCCCCCAGCGCTCTGTCTCTTCCTCCACATCCTCCTCAAACTTGATCCAGCGTGCTGTCTCCCGCCAGTGGGGTTCCTGGCTACGGTCCAGTGTCAGCTCGTTCAGCTCCACAAACACCTGAGGCAGGTGCCAAGGGTGAGGGTCTGGGGGCCGCCAGGTGGGATCGGCGGTCTTGGAGGCATGGCAACCAGGCAAGGCGGAGTGGGGGCGGGTGGGGGGATGGGGAGGTGGGAAAGGGAGGCTCTAGGGAGGAGAAGGGAGGGGAGGCTGCAGGCCCACCCCTCAGTCCCTGTACCTCATGAGGCCTCCGATCCAGCTTCTTCTTCTTTTTCTTCCTGCGCAGGATGGGGGCCAAGCCCCCAGGGCTGCCCCTCCCAGCCTGTGTCCGAGACGGCTTCTTCACAAGGTGCCGCCGCATCCCAGGGTTGTCCTCCAGCCGGTGACCTGCAGGCAAGGCAGGCTTGGTGGTCCTGGGGGTCCACCTCGGGGCCTCATGGTCAGAGCCAAGCCCTCCAGCCCCCTGCTCTGCCAGGGGCCACATCCACACAACCCTATAAGCCAGCACAGCCATGTCACAAAGACACGAAGGCCCAGAGAGGGGAAAGGACTACCACACAGTAACACAGGGGACCACTGGCCAAGCCACTGTAAGAAGGCAAACCCCACTCAGTCCACAGCCCCAGCTGCCTACCCTTCCCCACGGCCACCGCCTCTCACTCTGGAGCACCACGACCTACATGGAGTCACCAGGCCCTCAATCCTTTCCCTGTGCCCTCTCTCGGCTCCCAGGTCTCCCCCACAGATACACATCTGGCGGACTCAAGCAGAGCTCTAGCCCTTCCTCCCTGCTTGCCCCTTCCAGGCCAGCAGCTGCGGAAAGGCCAACAGCCTGGTTACTCACAAGCTGGCCCCCCTGCCATGGGGCTCAGCTGGCCCTGGGTGGGTTCCCACAGGTCACCGTCCTCAAGGTCCAGCACCAACATTTCTAAGTCCTCTGAGGCCAGCGAGTCTCGAGGGCTGGGGGCCGGGGCCATCCAAGGGCCCTGGCTCTCTGCGTTCCCAGGCCCAGGGCTGGGTGCCCTGTTGGGCTCTGTGACCTCCTCCAGCAGGCTCATCCTTCTCCCGGTGGCCAAGCCCTCAGCCTCTGCTCGGGATTCCCCGAAGCCCTGGCTCTCCTAAAAGGTGGGAGCCTGGACCAGCGGTCTTTGTTCAACCCCAACCTCCTGACTCCCCACAGCCCCAGGCCGGCTCCCTGCTGCTTCCAGCCCCCACCCTGAGTCTGTAAACACGCCCTCCCCTGACCCCCCACCCCCACCCCACTGCTGCCATCGGATTGTTCCTGTCCCTGTCCTCGGGCCCTGGCAACTTTCCATGACGTACTGAGCCCAGAGCCCTCCCCACCAACCCCCGCCCACACACTGTGCTTCCAAGGGGGAGGGAGGGGGGGTCAGTGGTGCCCCCGGCCTGGGCACAGAGCCCTGTGGGTGATGACAGGTGGCACAGAAACCAGGGTGCTGATGAGATGGAAGGAATGTGCCGTGATCACAGCCAGGCCCCGCCAAGGGTGGTGCGACAAGTCGGGGGCCCCCGATGTAGGGAGAAGCAGGACCTGGAAGAGTGGCTCACCTTCAGGGGGCCGGCATGAAGAAGACAAAAAGAGTTTGCCCGAGAAGAGAAGCCTTGGGGGAAGGGGGACATAATGTCTCCAAAGGTCACATGGGGGGGTTGCCTTATTCAGGGGGTGGTCAGAGGACAGAATCAAGACAGAAGCGCAGAGGTGTCACCAAGGGAAATCTCAGCTCTGGCAACCAGAGAGGTGGCTTGGTGAGGTAGTGAGCTCCCCGTCCCTGGACACATTCCAGCAGACAGGGATACTGCAAAGGGGCCTAAGCGCTGGGTTGGGGAGAGCACAGAGCTTCTCCAAGGTTCCCCACAGGCGGAGCGCGCATGGGGGTGGGCCAGGGGGGCTGCCACAGGGTGTCACTCACTCTTCATGTCGTCCAGGTCCGCGGAGCCCAGCATCTGGGCCTCCGCCTCGTCAGTGGGCACCTGCTGCTCCGGGCCACCTGGGGTACCCAGGGCACTGCCTGGGCACAGCCGTTCCCGCAGGTCATAGCTGGCCGACGGGCTCCAGGGCCGGCTCTTCTCCCCAGCGACTCGGGAGACCCGGGCCCGGGGGCTTGAGGAGCTGAGGAGGCACCATGGCAGCCTTGGACTTGACAGGGAACCACGGTGGAGATGGGCCAGGTTAGGAGGTTCGTTTGCCCTCCCCCAGCTTGGGGTGGGGCCTGGAATAGTCCCCTGGGCGCTAGACACAGGCTCCTTCTGGGCAGAGAAGGAAGCTCACCTCCACCTCCCTGCCCCTGTCTCACTGTCCCCCCCACCCCCCACCCCCGTCTTTCTTCTGCCTTTATCCCTGCCCTCCTCTCTGGTGACACCTGTCTCTCCTCCTTGTCTATCCTATGGACAGAGAGCGGATGCGCCCCTCCCCGCTTCCTCTGTTTCCTCTCCTCTCCTCCCCTCTTCTTCTCTGGGCTCAGAGCTGGGACAGTCCCCAGGGTCAGAAGGGAGCCTGGGGCCCGCTCTGGGCTGGGCTGGAGGCCAGTACCTGACTGACTGCTGGGGGCTCTTGTCAGGGCAAGGGCCCACGGAGGGCAGGGGCTTGCTGAAGGCAGCCCTCCCAGAGAGGCCAGGACTGTCATCCTCATCACTTCCAATGGAGAACTGTGGACAAACCAGAGTGCCCTGGGTCCCTGCACAGGCTCAGCCCCCAACCCGCCACCCTCCCCACACCCCGACTCCCCCAGGCAGCCCTGGCGCCCTCGGCTGTGTCCTCTCCCCCCACCCGCACCCCTCCCTGAGGAGTCAGCCCTCCTTCAGGGACAGACCCCTACCTTTGCTTTCTGTGGGGACTCTGAGGGCGGGGGCTCCACAGGTTCTGCCTCGGATTCCCCTTCCTCTTCCTCCTCCTCTTCCTCCTCCTCCTCCTCCACTCCGGCTCCCCCCTCCTCCTGGATGGGAGGGGTCTCCTCTGAGGGGGGAGCCGAGGTTTTCTCCTTCTTCCTCTTCCTCCTGGTCTGCCGGGCAGAGGTGGGGGGCAGTCGCCGCAGCTTGTGGGGTGGAGGCAGGCGCGCCGAGAGCGGGTGGTGGGTGTGGTGGGATGTGTGCCGGTGAACTGGGGGTGCAGGAGAGCCGGTTGGGGGTCCCCACAGCAGAAGGGGGGCCCCTCACCGCCCTAGGGGCACACACCTTATTCTAGCTCAGGGCCTCAAACAAGGGCACCCTAGACCTTCCTCAAGAGCCAGGTTCCCCCCAACACCTGTATCCGTGTCCTGCCATTGGTAAGGCCTGGTAGAGTGGGGGAACGGGAGTCAGGGAGAGGGCAGGTTGTGAAAGGGGGGCTGGGGGAAACGGAAGGACACGGTACAGCAAGGGGGGAAGGCAGAGTCAGAAGAGCTGAGGGAGGTGAGGAGGCAGAGAGAAGGGAGCAGGGCCGGAGGTATGGCAGAGCCTTGGGGAAAGTGAAGGTCACCGAGGGAGGCCTCAGGCCCATCTCCCTACGCCTCCCCCTGCGTCTGGGGCCCGGCTCCCCTGGAAGGTGGACAGGCGATGGGTGAGTGAGGCAGGATGACTTAACATGGCATGGTGGCCCAGCACAGCGTCCAGCACAGCGTCCAGCACAAGATGGCACTGGGTGACCAAGCCGGTGGAGAGCACGGTGATGGTGGCAATGAAGGTGATGGTGGTGAGGGCGGCCACACTAGGGGTCCCCAGGCTACCCACACTCAAAGTCCCGCTCGCTGTAGCTGCGGCTGGGCTTCTCAGGGTCCCAGGCCGGAAGCTTGCTGATGAGGTCCCCAAACCTGCTCACAGCCAAGGTCTTGCCCAAGTCATCGTCCTCCTCCTCCAGGTCTGGACTCAGAGGGGGCTCCTCCAAGGGCACCCGGACCTGCAGGCTCAGACAGCCTCTCCTAAGGACCCTTGACCCAAGAACGCCCCACATCCACCCCAACTCCAAACCCTGGCTGGGGGCGGGGAAGACCAGCGGGCTCCATCTTCAACGACCCCCTCTCCCTGCGCCCCAGCCTTGGGTCAGCCTCCCAGGAGCCCAGGGCTTGAGAGGAGAGGGGCAAGAGAACCGAAAAATACCAAAAGGCCCTCCCTTTCCCCCTCCTCTCCAGCCCAGCTCCATCTCTGGATGTGGGGATCCCAAGGTCGGCCGGAGGACTCCCCTCTCCTCCTTGGGGTCCCTCCCCTCCTCTTCTCCCACCCCCGCGCGCGGCAGTCACCTGGGGTAGGGGGGAGGCGCCCCCGGGCGGCGGGATCACTCCGTTGGCCATGGCCGGGGAGGCGGCTCGGGAGCCTCTCGCTCACTGAGGGACCCGTGACCGGGTTGAGAAGAAGGGGGCGCTGCGGGGGCCTAGCGGGGAGCCCTGGGGGAGGAGGGCGGGGTCAGGAGCCTCGCACGGCCGCCCTCTCCCCCTCGGCGAGCCCCATCGTCCGCCCGCCCAGGCCGAGG